TCTTTGACTCTGCCTGTCTGCTATGGATGGACTATCTATGAGCTGCCCTTTGGGATCCTATCAGACTATTCACAGCATCAGAACGTGGGATCATGTGTCCAAGGCCCTGTTTGACATGGGGACTTAGACATAATGTGTGCTTATTAAGGATACTCTGGCATCCTAATCTCCCATTTAAGATCTCAGGAATCCGGCTTGCTGCAGGATGCCTTTAAGACGGGCTGGTTTGGATCCACACAAGGACCGCTGTCACTAGTTCTGCATTCACTCTCAAGATGTCGCAGGAATGCTGACACTCTCTCACCCACAGTGCCCTCCATGTCAGTGCCCTCCTCTCTAGGAGCTCCTTGGACAATTATACATGCACTTTCCTTTCAAATCCCTGCGTATAAATACACATAATCCCATGTTGCTTTCAAGTTCTTACCGGCCACCATTGAGTGAACGGCCACTGGATCCTCATGATTGCTTTCACCTGTGGTGTCCTTGAAAGAGAAATCCTTTATTAAATCAAAACTGCTCTTAAATCAAGATTGGGTACGATATATAATTGACAATATAATCAATAATATTATCAGTCAAATTAATAATACCGTTAATCAAAGCCCAACATCCTCTAAACACAGTCTACACTCAGTGCTGATTGAAGGAAGGAGTGCTCTAGATAGGAAAGAATAAATCTCACACATCTGCAAGAGTGTGTTCCTAGACAGTACATGCATGGGATATACATCCTCTCTATGGGTGAGTGCTATGTGGGTGATCAAAATTGTAGTGTCTAGAACAAGAATGGTCCTGCAGAAAGCATTAAGCATTGCCTCCATCCTTGGTCATTAGTAACTATGTGTTTCATATCATACACCAGGGTGCAGAATGGTTATTACACACACACTTTTGTGAAGTTTTATTTTTAGAGAGTCTCATGTAGTGTGTAGGCTGGTCTGGAATTCCCTATGTAGCCAAGGGGAGCATTGAACTCCTCATTCTCCTTCCTCAATTTCCAAATCTGGTTTTATAGGCATGTGCCTCCCCACACACTCCAGGCTTCATTGTCTTTTTTTCTTTTCTGGGACTCCAAACATGCCTCACCACACCCAGTTTTATTCAGTGTTGAAGTGTGTGTGTGTGTGTGCGTGTGTCTATTATGGGAACATCTAGCCACTGAGCTACATCCCTTGCTCCTGTAATATCATTTTTAAATTTCCAAATATGTCAGGCGGTAGTGGCACACACCTTTAATCCCAGCGCTCAGGAGGCAGAGCCAGGCAGATCTCTGTGAGTTCCAGGAAACTACACAGAGAAATCTTTTCTTGGAAAAAAAAAATCCAAATAAAGAGCTTTATCAAGTGAACCCAAAATCGCTCTGTTGTTTTGTTTTCCTTTGCCTTTCTTCCATTATTTTGTTGGTGTTTGTTTTGTTTTTGTTTCTGTTTTATGAGGTGGTATCTTATACTATTGTCCAGGCTGAGGTTGACTACTGATAATTCTTCTGCCTCAGCTTCCAGAGTGCTGTTGTCCTGACATGAGCCACATGCCCAGCTTTGTTCTCTGTTCTGTGGCATGAGAAGCAGCATGTCCATCACCACAGTGTGAGGTGCTTTGTGTCAGCAATGAAGTGATGGTTAGACTGTGTCAGAGAAACATGGAGGGGTCAGAGCATCATCCGACTGCATGATTTGGCTGGGCACTTGCTTTGTTAGAGAAACACGCCTGTAGGCCAGGGGTACAGCTCAGTCATAGATTCCTTGCCTAGCTTACACAAGACCTTGGGTTTGATCTCCTGAATTGCAGTATAGAAGTATAGAACAAAAATCAAATAGGAATGTGGCACACACTTGTAATTCCAGCATTTGGAAGGTTGAGGCAGGAGGATCACAAATTCCCAGCCAGTCTTGGACTTGAACATAGCAAGTTCAAAGTCAGCCTGGGCTACACAGTGAGAACTTGTCCCAAACAAATTCAAACTTGCCTTGCACATCCCAAAAGAAGTAAGAAGACAAGCCTACTACCCTCCAAAGGTCACAGATGGGGTCCAGTTAGTCTGAACGTTTAATAAATCTAAAAGAATTTCAACACCAGACTTCTCATAGGAGAAGTTGACTCTGCATTTCATGAAGCCAGCTAGTGTGTCTCCCTTGTCCACTGTGAAGTTCCTGTTTATACTTCTCACTTGATAGTGCTTATTGGATAACTATGGAATGGATTTAATTATGATGCACTGACAATTGGCATTGCTGTTCAGAACAGTGTTCACCCACAGGCCCATGTGCTGCCGAGTCAGAGAAAGGGTGGTGTCCATTACCGTGACCTCTGGAAGTGTGTAGTGACTCTGAAAGGCAGGAATCTCTTCTGCAGAGGACTTCAGGTTTTGAAGAAATACACAGCTAGACAGAGGAGATAAAAGTCACAAAATAGTTGCATGTCATTAAGTGCTTGTGTTGGGTTTTTATTAAACATGAAGATCTGGGGCCGAGACTGAAGTGGAAAGCTGACAGTTTCAGGGATTCTGTAGGGTTGTATCATATATGACACACAGACTGTGGCTTTCAACAACACCAGGAAAGTGGTTGTAAAGTAATGGTAAGGACATCCGGGGAATGTGCTGGAATGAGCGAATAGTTAGTGTCTGTCCATGAAACAGCTACAAGGAGCTTAAAGGATAAAACAGTTTCCCAGCACTGTGGGAGTGGAGGCGAGAGGATCACTGAGGCTTGCTGGATGCCAGCTTAGCTCAGGTTCAGTGAGAGACCCTGTCTCCTGGGAACAAGATGGGGACATGAAGAGGATGCTTCCAAGTGGTGGCACACACCTCTAATCCCAGTACTTTGGAGGAAGAGACAAATAGATCTCTGAGTTCAAGGCCAGCCTGGTTGTGTTCCAGGACAGCCAGGACTACACAGAGAATCCTATCTTGGAAAAAAAAAAGGGGGGGTGGCTGGGTTGTTCCACGTCTCCCTTTGGCCTGTACATAGTACATACAATGTATATACTCAAATATACTCATAAACACACATTTACAGAATAAACAAAGTAAAAATAAATAAAAATTTTAAAGAGTAAATAATGAGAAAACTCTAGATTCATAGAAAGGACAACAAATGACAAAACCCATATCAGATAGTTCACAACCTCCTGTAACTCTAGTTCCAGGGAATCCAATACCCTCTTCTGAGCTCTGTGAGCACCAGGCATACGCGTAGTGCACAGATATAATTGCAGGCAAAACACCCATGCACATAAAATCAAATATTTTAAAAAAAATAAGTAAAGGGAAAAAAAGTGGCCATTGCAGTCAAGTATCTTCTAACTTTAAAATTAGATGGAAATAATCTATTTATTTCTTTATTTCAGTTGAGGATAAGTCTTGCTACATAGCCCTGGGCTGGTCCCAAACATGTGATTTTAGAAGGAAGAGAACTAAGGGGGAGGTAGAGGGAGATAAGAGAGGGTGATGAGGAGGGATGGTGATCATGATCGGATACACTGTCTCTCTCTATATGAAAAGGTCATAATGTAGATATATGAAAGTGTCATCATTACACATAATTAATGAATGTTAATAAAACATTTAAAATATTATTAAGGACTTGGGATACTATTACTATTCTATCTCAAGAGCAAATAATTATCTAAAACTTTACAATTAAGGTGGGTGGGTACTGGCACATGTGTTCAATCCCAGCACTTGGGAGGCAGAGACAGGTGGATCTCTGTGAGTTCAAGGCCAACCTGGTCTACAGAATGAGTTCTAGGACAGCTAGGCCTACACAGAGAAACCCTGTGTCAAAAACAAAACAAAACAAACAAACAAAAAACCCACACATACAAAAACAAAACAAATAGAAAAAAGCAAAAAAAAAAACATTTAAAAGTTAATTAAACTTAAATTTTTCTAAGGCCAAAACGATTTAGTGCAATTTTAGGCATGCATTGCGTGCACACAGGACACAACTGTGGAACTGAACAGAGACTACAGAGACACCAACACAGTTGCTGATTTTCATGCCTTCAAAGGGATACCATAGCAAAAGACATTTATTTCTCAATTACAAGTGCTGGATTTTTAAAGTAGAGTAGATTTCAGATAATTCATATTAAAGCATTTAGTATAAAACAAAGAAGTACTCACTTTTCAATCTGCATAAATTATTCTCTGAAAATTTTAATTTCTGAGTGAAAACAACAAATTTCATTTTGCAATAGAGTTTTTTATACAGTTTTTTATGTGTAAAAAAGAGATAAAAATTAACTTGAAGATTGACTGAAAAGGGGTCAGAGTATCTTAAGAGTAAAGGCCTTGCCTAGCGTGCCCAAACCATTGGTTCCATCCCCAGCACTGGAAAAAGAAAACCACTTGGAACATCTTAGACAATAGCAATAGAAAATCCTAAATTCTAGAAAGAGGAGGACAGAAAACTAGGTTGCAATCAAAAGAATCAGAAAGGCAGCAATTGGGAGACTGAGGCAGGAGGGAAGATCATGGGTTCAAATCCTACTGTGCTGGATAGCATTTCTAAGATAGTCTGGGCTCATAGAGAGACCCTGTCTTTAAGTGTGTATATGCACACAACCAGAACCAAGATCTAACTGATGAGAAAAAAGCTAGACAGGGTGTGTCTTGGGAGGAAAGAGATGAAACTATAAGGATGCATCCTTCACAACAGGAACCAGAGGAGAGGGCAGATCCTATCCACAGGGAAAACATGGACAGAGAGGGATAACCGTACATTCCAAGTCAAGAGAATTCACCATGCTCACTTGGGAAAAAACTTGGTGTGATCTTCTAATGGGTCGTCACCTTCCTCCCATTTCGACATACATCCTCCACAGGAAAAGCACCGGACAATGTCGTTTTTGCCTAGAATGAGGGAATATGGTCAGTTCAACAGCACATACACCTGTCAACTCACAAGCAGTGAAATCCTATTTGCAGCTCCAATTGGATCGTGTGGCAAAGTCACACATGAGTCACTAGGGGGCACTAGTTCACACAGGACTCTTGGTCCTTCAATGGGGTGTTAAGCAATAGTCACTGAATGTGCACCGTGTGCTCTGATGAACACCCTCTCGCAAACTCATCCTGGAAGATTTGCCATCAGAATCTGGAACAGAAGATCAGTGAGAGCAGAGATTTTTGTCTGATTTGGACACCAGTGACTTTCACAGACACAATCAGTAAGCATTTGCTTAAAGAATAAATCAGAAAGAATATACTTGTTGGGGGGTGAGATGGAAGAACACATTTAGGCATCTCTATGCTAGCTAGATTATGAAGAATCCCTTGTCTCTTCTCACATTATTGCCAGCTGTGTTTCATTAGAAATAGGACATGTCATCTTGAGACTTGAGGAAGGCAGCCAGGAGGACACAAAGGGTCCAGGCCGTGTGGTGAGATCATTTGTGCCAGTGGAAGATGTCTGTTGGTGGAGTGACTGCAGAATCCACATGTTCAGAGGCTGAGCTATGGAATTTGAAGGTCTTGGGGGGTCCCCAAGGAGATCCATGACAAATGGTGGAGTGTGAAGAGAAAGGCAGGAGCAGGATTAGAGTGTGTGCTGGGCACAAGATACTGACGAGGTACCAGAGAGAGGCTGAGCCGTAAGGTCACTTGTGGCTCTGCAAAGGAGTCGGGTTGGGTTCCAGCAGCCACATGATGGCTCAGTCATTTATAACCCCAGTTCCAGAGGACCCAACACCCTGTCTGGCCTCTGAGGGCGCCACACAGGCTTGTGGCAGGCACACATGCAGGCAAACACTCATACACACAAACATAAAATAAAGAAAATACAAAGCTGACTCACCTGTGTAGAAAAGGCCTGCTCTGACCAGAGCTTCAACAGCCCCAGGGGAGTCATGGGGCCAGTCCTTAAAGGTGTCCAGCCTTAGTTCTTCATTAGCGAAGATGCTGTCATTGCAGTAAGCTTGAAAAACAGATGTAGGTGAGAGCAGCAGGCTGTGATCGCAAAGTTCAAGTCAGCTGTGTGTGCAGGTGGAATGATCTGGTGTACTGTGCTTGCGTCAAAATAATTGAGGGTGGCTAGAAAAGCATGAAGTCCCCTCACTGTAGAATAATTCTTAGTTTCTTCACAGTGTGCTGTGCCATTTACAAACACTTTGGGGGACTGGGGATATAGCTCACTTTGGAGAGTGCTCTCTTGGCATTCAGGAAGTCCTAGGTTGGTTCCATCCCCAGCACCTGAGAAGCTCTGTCTCAGCACTCAGCAGGAGGGCCAAAAGTTCAAGGTTCATTTGAGTTTGAGGCCAGCCTGGGATAGGAAGGACCCTGAAAGAGCTTCCAAAACATTTTATCCAAGGTTTTAGTGGTTTTCAGGGAAACGTCAGCTATGGCTCCGCCTGTACTGTGGTTAGCTGTGCTCACCTACACTCAGAACTAAGCCACTTCGCAGACTCTGTGGTTTAGATGTTTGCCTCGAACCCTAACAAGCTTTTAACTAATTCCTGGAACTCTCATGGTAGAAGGAGAGAACCGACTCCTCTAAGTTGTCCTCTGACTTTTGCACCTTCACACATGGGACCCGTGCATACCCACATACAATACTAAGTAAAAAATTGAGTGTAATTTTGAAAAGTTTACTTTTAAAGATTTATTTATTTTTATTTTTGATGTAGGTGTGTTTTCTGCATGTTTGACTGCACCACATGGGTGCAGTGCCCCTGGAGGTCAGAGGAGGGCACTGGATGCTCTGCAATTGGACTTGCAGAGTTGTGAGCTGCCATACGTGTGCTGGGAACCTAACCCCTGTCCTTTGCAAAGCAGTAAGTGAGCTTGAGCTCTGAGCCATCTCTCCCACCCATAAAGAAAAACAAAAACAAACCAAAGTCCTTCCATAACAGGGAAATCACTTATGAATCTAATTTTTAAAGCAAGTTGATCAGGGCTGGAGAGATGGCTCCGTGGTTAAGAGCACTTACTGCTCTTCCAAAGGATCCAAGTTCAATTCCCAGCAATCACATCAGGCTTTCACAGATGCCTGCTACTCCAGCTCCAAGGGATCTGATACCCCTGTCTGACTTCCAAAAGCACCTGCACACATGTGGCACCACACAGACATGGGGGTGTGGGGAAACACAGGAAAGGAAAGAAAGAAGCAAAGCATTTGGAATGTGCCTGAGGTTTTACCTGACACCATAGGCAATTCTCTTCTGACCCAGGAATTCACAAAATGTTCTCCCTGAGGGAAAGAAATTCAGGTTACTGACTGATTTATAAAATATACATCTATCTGTGAGCTGCAAGTGAAGGACTTCTCCCACTAAAGCCAAGTTTCCTTAGAGCAGCAGAATTGTTCACAAAGGAGTCCTTTAGTTTTGGGTTGATTCCTATTGATGTTGGGAAATGGGAACTTTCTCAGGGTCACTCTTAGGGGACGCGCAGCTCAGCAAAAGAAATGCAGTCACACAGATGCACTTTGACTCATGAGGTACTGAGCCATGGGAAGGCAGCTTATGAGGGTCTAGATTTAACTTTACAGACTCTCTCCTAGGGAAAGGGTCACCTTCTCAGACCACCTGCTGTATTCAGTTCCAGGAAGGACCTCAGGAATGTGCCATGACAACTCAAAAGGATTCAGATACTCCTGCAGACATCCTGTCTGCTGTTTATACAGGAAGGAAAGCTTAACAGGATTCAGATACTCCTGCAGACATTCTGTCTGCTGTTTATACAAGAAAGAAGATACTCCTGCAGACATCCTGCCTGTGGTTTATGTCCCTTGAAGATATCTAGATAATGCCACTGAATAGTCCAGATGATCCTGTTCAGCAGGTTGTGGTTCCCTGGCCAAAACTCTAACCCAATGATTTCAAATGTGGGTTCGCGCCCAAAGTCTGGACCAACAGTTTCAAAGAATCACCTTACCCCATACCCCTTCTACCCAATCCAGAGTTGCCAATTCCCAGCTTGTGATTTTTTCCTATAAAAACCCCCTACTCGTGGGCCCGTAACTGCTGAATCTTCCTCTATCTGCTGCATTGGAGTTTAGGTTGGCGGCCCAGGTTCAAATCTGGCAATAAAAAGATCCTTTGTGTTTGCATCGGAAACCGGCTACTTGGTGGTCTCTGGGGGTTCTAAGACACAGGCACAACAAACTCACCTCAGAAGGACCTTTCTGATTGAGCAACTCTCCCTCCGAGAAAAATGCACCCAGACTTTCAGTCTGTGCTCTCTGCAGACGCTGCTTCTGAGTCAGTCAGCCATGACATCCCCCCTTGGCTTCTGTTTGGGGTAAGTTTCCCACCTCTTGCCACTAGGAAGTCCTTACTGCTTTAGAGCCTAGACAGGCAGGGGCAGGAGCCAGCTCTGAGGGCCCTGCTGTCACCAGGAACTAGGACAGAAGACTGAGTCAGGCATCCAGAGGGAGGCAGCAGGAAGCCAGGGCAGTGGCCTCGGTCAGAGGGAAGATGAGGAGGCAGTGGAAGCCACACAAAGCCAGCCTGAAAAACCACCTCACATGGGTCCAGCTGAGCAAGACCACGAGATTGTTGTGTCTCTACTCTGAGGATTCAGATACCACTAGGTGATGAACACACACTATTGTCAAGAGTTTGCTGTTGTGAATTACCGTTACATGGACAAATCCCTCGTAGCTTTTAATATACTGGGCAATTTCTTCTGAGGATTTCTTACTTTGAAGGAATTCACACCTATAATGAAAAATATAATTAAAATTTACCCCAATACTGTGACAAAGATTATCTATATCATAATAAATATTTGGTAAATACCCATCAAATTGTTGAATATGATAAAATAGTCAAAAATTTCCTGAAACCTTACTCATGAGGATTAACATCATGCTGTTAGAAAAATTTAAATTTTATCAATGATAAAATATATCATTATTTAAAATCAAACCTTGGGCTGGTTAGTTATTTTGTCAACTTAACACAAGCTGGAGTCATCTGGGAAGAAGGAGCCACAGTTGAGAAAATGTCTCCACCAGATCAGTCTGTAGGCAAGTCTGTGGGGCATTTTCTTGATTAAAGATTAATGTGGGAGGGTCCAGTCCACTGTGGGCAGTGCCACGCGCCCCCTCCCCCCCCCGCCGCAGGCGGTCCTGGGAGGCATGAGAAAGGTAGCTGGGCATGAGCCTGGGAGCAAGGCAGCAAGCAACCTTCTTTCATGGTGTCTGTCTGCTCCTGCTCATGTTCCTGCCCTGATGTCCCTCAGTGGTGTCTGTCATCTGGACATACAAACCCTCTCCTTCTCTGGTGGCTTTTGTCATGGTGCAACAGAAAAGCAACAGCAACAGAAAGCAGACTATGACAACCTTTCATGTCATTTTAATTTTGATTTCAAGACAACCTGTCCCTGTGTTGTGTTGGTGATGTCATACTCTTGACCTCAACCAGTTCCCCCAAGAGAAGCCTGGACTACAGGCTTACACTACTGTTCTTATCTTGAAACACATATGCAACAGAATCAAAGACAGAGATTCATGGTAAGCAGAGTGTGCAACACACACACACACACACACACACACACACACACACACACACACACACAATCAATGTAAAAAAAAAAATCCCAAGGGATGGAGGGAGAAGGGCCTTGAATACTGGCAATGATATTTAATTGTATTAGGCATTAACGCTCATCTTTTTAGGAAACATGATACCAAGGTTCTTTTTTCTTTTTTTTTTTTTATCATGATTTAAAGTTATATACTAAAAGAATTATAAATGGAACCATGTGTTAGCTGGAATTTGCTTTGACATAACCTGATCCATAGTATTCCAAGCGGGTGGTGGGAAAGAGATGGACAGGTGCTCACTATACTTTCTGTACTTTGAGAAATTTCCATAATGAAAGTTTGGAAACTAGTTAAAGGAATGAATTTGTATGTGGCAGAAACAAAAACAATAGATACACAAAACCACCACTAAATGCATTATTAAAATGATTAAAATATGATTCCTTTCCTAAGCAAGGTGAAAGACCACCACAATAACAAAAACTCTGAGTCTCTGAAGTAAAATCCACTTGCTCTCCCTCCTGTGGTCCTGGTGTGTGGTGACCCAGACATCTGGTCTCCTTGCCATTTTTTTTCAATCAGAAGATGGCCTTGAACTCCTGATTCTACTGCCTCCTCCCTCCTCACACTGGGATTACAGTTGTGTGCCACCACTTCCAGTAAGCATCTTCATTTTGTGCAGGTTCCACAGGGTGTGAAACCACCTGTTATATTTTGTTGTTGTTTTTTGTTTGTTTGTTTGTTTTTTGAGACAGGGTTTTTCTGTGTAGCTTTGGTGCCTGTCCTGGAACTCGCTTTGTAGCCCAGGCTGGCCTCAAACTCACAGAGATCTGCCTGCCTCTGCCTCCCGAGTGCTGGGATTAAAGGTGTGCGCCACCACACCACTGCTGCTGTTGCTGCCGCCGCCACCCCCGCCACCACCACCCCCACCTGTAATATTTAAACAGTCATCTTCTTTTACTTATATACCTTTCCCATGCCTGTGCAGATGAACTCATTTATTAGTTATGGTAAATCATGAATATGGTGGTATTTTATTTGTACTGAAATGTGATTTTAACTGTATGTTAATAAATAAAGTTGCCCGGGGGTCAGAGCTATTAGAGCCATAGTAAGAGCGTGGTGGTGGTAGTGCACACCTTTAATCCCAGTACTTGGTAGGCAGAGCGAGGTAGATCTCTGTGTATTCAAGGATACAGCCAACATTGGAGACACACACCTTTAATCTCAATACCATAGAAGACCTGGAGAGCTGTACATACAGGCAGTGATGAGGCAGTCATGTGTTTGGGTTTACAACCAATGAGAAGGCAGAACAGAAAGTCTATATAAGGACGAACATACAGAAAGTAGCTCTCTTTCGGAGACGTCTCTTGGCTGAGGAGGCTAGCTGCAGGGTAAGGCTCTTAGCTCTGATCTCTTGGCTTTCTTCTTTGCATTGGTTCTGTGTTTTTTATTTAATAAGACGGTTGGTTACATCTACACATGAAACTGCTACTTGACAAGACATTTTGTAATACTGGGGATAACAAAACAACATTTAGCGGGGCAGTGTTGGCACACACCTTTAATCCTAGCATTTGGTAGGCAGGGGCAGGCAGATCTCTGAGAGTTCAAGGCCAGCCTGGGCTACAGAGGATGTTCCAGGACAGTGAGGACTACACAGAGAAACCCTGTCTCAGGGGAAATAATCATTTAGTAACAGTGTGAGGAGCTGGAGAGTGGGCACTTAATGTATTTGCAGAAGACAGGAATTCAGTGCCCAGCACTCACTTTGGACAGCCAGCTGTAACTGCAGCTCTAAGAAAAATCTAACACATCTGACCTCCATGGGCACCTGCACTAACTTACACATACCCTGTCTCCTCCAACCAACAATTAAAAAAGAAAATGAAAAGTTGGACCTGGGGAGATGCCTCAGTAGGTAAAATACCTCAGCATGACCATGAGGGTCTGAATTTGAATCTGTGCAGGGCCCAGTCCACCAGGTCTCTAATCCTATCCCTGGAGGAATGGGGACAGGTGGATCCCAGAGGGCCTATCTCAAAAATATAAGGTGGAGAATGATGGGTGGATGGATACCTATATCAACATGTGACCTCCACAGGAATGCATGAGTACACATACATACACTACACACCAACACACCATGCACATAAACACACTCTACATGCACCAACACACTACACAGAAAATATAAAAAAGAAAAATAATGGAGCAAAAATGACATAAGAGAGAAAAAACCATTTAAGTTCATGTAATTCAAAGTTTTCACTATGTAACCACATCTTCCTTGCTTGAAAATTTCTGGAATGATCCCATAGTTTATCAATAAGAAAAATGTCAGAACTCATGTGATACTCCAACAATGTTGGCCTTTGGCCTCCAGTTTCATCCTGCTAAACAAACAAACAAACAAACAAACAAAACCAAAACCAACAATAAACCCTGAAAATAAAAATAAAGGGTTTGTCTGCTTACTTGGGGAACCACTTGGCATGCTCCTTCCAAGGATCGTCTCCTTCTTCCCAGTTTCCCAAGCATCCACCACAGGAGAAACACTGCACGGTGTCCCTTTTACCTACAGATGCAGTGACATGTTTTGACTGGCCAGCAATGGCACCAGATGAGAGCTTGGAGATGAACATCTTGTTCCAGAACAAGACAGACTCCAGCATGCCTGTTCTTCCACGACCTCTCTGGCTGAATCCCTGCCCACAGTCCCACTGCCCTAAATGACTCCCTTCCAAGCTCTGGACCTCCATCCCCCAGCCATCCCTTCCTCCATATACACAGTCCTCACACCTTGGCTTCTCCTAGACCAAAGTGATTGAGAAGTGAGCAAATACTAGGACTCACTGGAATGATGCTGGTATAAGGCCTAAGAGTTAGCTTTGCCATGCTTTTCTATGGAAATGGAGGCACATTTCTCTAATTCTTTGAAACTCAGTGAAGTTAACCATGAGATGTGGTGGAAGGGCAAACTGGCTGAATTAGAATTCGTGTTCAATCCATGCATAGCCTAAGTGGGTACTCTGCACACTGCAGACGCTGCTATAATTATCATTCATGTCTGTCCTAACACCTGTGTGTGGCTAAGGCATTTCAAGTTGCAGTGTGCTCAAAGGCAGTTTGCCTCATGGATGGGGGTTAAACAAGTGAAAGAATCCTTCCAAAACCATAGAAATTAAACGAATCATGGAAATACACGAGTAGTGATGTTCATGAAACTAGAGGAAAGTGGGATGGAGCTATCTCCTGATCCATTTTCATGACCTTATGGACTGAACTAGTGTTTTCCAGAGTCTCTTTATTTTTGTTTTCCAGTGCTGGAACTAAGGCAATGGCCAAGTTAACCCTCTAGTAATGAGCTATACCCTCAACCTCCAGTTAACAGTTTCTAAGGTCAAAATTTACAGAAAAAAAAAAACCTTTCATTTTTTTACATACTTGTCAAGCTAATAATGTTTCATTAAAAGTAAATTAAAGTGGCTAGGCGGTGGTGGAGCACGCCTTTAATCCCAGCACTCGGGAGGCAGAGGCAGGCGGATCTCTGTGAGTTCGAGGCCAGCCTGGGCTACCAAGTGAGTTCCAGGAAAGGCAC